GCCCCAGGCCAGAGCCAGGCTTTCCACCTCAGCCTCAGCCCCAACCCCAGTTCAAACACCTGCTTGCTGACTGCCTCGGGTCCACAGCAAAACAGAATTAAACGCTACTGGAGTGAGTTTTCCTGAAATTAAATAGATTCACTTTTATCAAGCACTGAAGGGTGGTTTTGGGGGGTTTTTTTGGCATTTAAAATTCACTTTGATGAAATACTTGTTATAAGAGATGATAATTTTTTTTAATGGGCTTACTTGACAACACAAAACTTTGGCAACTCAGTTACCAACTTCTTTCCCTCAGATTTTACCGGTCCATGACGTCCTACAGCACGGACACTGCTGCTCTTGGGGAACCCAAGGGATGGAACTGTATCTCCCCAGCTCTCAGCTTGAGGGGAACTCTAAGTGCTAACCTTATTCTCGTTGTGATAATGCAGGGGAACTCCATCCAAGTCTCCCCATTTGCAGCTCCGACTTGCCTGGACTACTTGCTCATGGCCACCTCCTCTCTTCTAAAGGAAACCACTCATTGTGACGTGCTTGCGCCCCTACCTCTGAAGTCCTGGTTGCCAGGAACGTTCGCGCAGACTGAAGGGTGCTGAATCCAGAGAGCAGCTGGGGAGGAACGGCCTCCCTTACAGAGCTCTCAGCTGCCTTTCATACTCCCCACTGGGCTCCAGTGTTATACTCCTCAAGGGTGATTTGAGGGCTAATTTCCCAGGTCTTTATGTCAAATGTTCTGTTGTCCACTGGCATCTCCCTTCTATGTCAGGCTTACACGGTTTGAGGTCTCCCCAGGGCTGGCCTTGCCTGAAACACTGCATCTTCCTTCAGGGACAAGGGATGACCTAGGGCTTCAGTTCCTACTGCATGTGGGACCCTGGCTGGGTTCCTGGAGCATCTAGAGGGTAAATTTGGTCTTAATCATCTTGGAATCCCCAGCACCTGCAACAGGATCTAGCACAAAGTAGGTGTTCAGCAAATGTTTGGAGAATAAATGAGTGAATAAATCCATGGATCATGGCAGGTGAGCTCAGCATCTCTGCCCATCTCCGAATCCTCAGTGATGACCTAACCCAGTAAGACCCCTATAACAGAACCCCAGCCCCTGGGCTGGTCTCCAAGGCCCTCCTTCTCCACTCACCCAAAGAAGGTGGTGCAGGCTGGATAGAAGCTCTCTTCTGAGAACTCTGCTGGGCCAGGGGTTGGTGGGAATAACTGAGGACGCTAACGCCTGCTCATGCCTCACCCAGACTCCATAGCCCCTTGCTTCAGATTTGTCTTTGTGGGCTGGCATACAGGAGGCGCTCAATAAATGCTTACTGAATTGGGCATTTGTCGGTGAAACACAACACAACAAAACCTTACTCCAAAGGGACAGACTGGGAGTTTGAAATTTGTAGATACTGACAGGTATATGTAGAATAAATAAGTTTATACTGTATAGCACAGGGAAATATATACAAGATCTTGTGGTGGCTCACTGTGAAAAAGAGTGTGAAAATGAATATATGTATATTCATGTATGACTGAAAAATTATGCTGTACATCAGAAATTGACACAACATTGTAAACTGACCATAACCCAATAAAATTAAAAAAAAGAAAGAAAAACAACCTTACTCCATAGATGGTCACATAGATGAGATGAGAGAATGCCTGTATGGTGTGTAGCACAGTGCCCGGCACGTAGGAGGCACTGGTGGCAATCCTGGCTCTCTGGGGACCCAGGGTCCTGACAGGCCTGCTGCTATATTTGTTGGACGAATGAATGGATGAGGACTGTTTCGTGTCCCCTTGCTGAAGGTCTCTGTGTCCAGTGGCAGCACTCCAGACATGGCAAGGCAGCATGACTCACCTGCCTGGCACTGGTGCCCATGCCCTTGGGGGAGTGAGAAGTGGCATTCCTGGAGAGCCAGGGATGCCCCAGCCAGGACTCAGCAGGCTCAGTGCAAGATCTTCCCTGGCAAACCTGCCCCTCCCTAGTCCTCATCTCTTCTTCCACTGGACTCCTGATCCTTCCCCCTTCCTCCCCCCCATTCAGTCACTCTTTTTTGAATGCAGTCTACCTCTTCACTGCTTTATTGCCTCCTCCCATTCCTGTTAGGGCCAGTCTTTCCCCCCGCAAGACCTTAGGACTGTCAGAGCTGCCTTCCTAAAACGGGTCAAATAGCACCACTGTGCCTCACTCAACAACAGGCAGTGGCTCCCCACTGCCCAGAGAATAAATACCTTTCACATGGCCCTCTCTCTCACTGCCAGACTTTCTCCTAACAGTCATGCCTCCACTCACCCCAACTCTGGTGCCTGTCATTTCCTTAGTATGGAATACCCTCCCCTTCCTGATCTCCACTTGCCATCCTCGAAGGCCCGGCTCAAATGCCCTCCTGTCCACAGAGAAGTCCTCGAGGGCCCACGGTCGGCATGGCTCACCCACCCTTTGTGCTCCTTCACTTTTGAGTTTCCCCTCTATTTCACACTTTCTCCACTCTGCCTTGTTTCTTTTCTTTTCTTTTTGAGGGCAAAGGTAATTAGGTTTATTCACATACCTATTTTTAGAGGAGGTACCGGAGATTGAACACAGAACCTCATGCATGCTAAACATGTGCTCTACCACTTGAGCTATACATTTTTTTTCTTCACTCTGCCTTGTTTCTTAGTTGACCGTGCACCTGACAAATGTTGGCTAAGATGAATGCAAGGTTGGTAAACAGGAGGCAAGGGCTGACCTTACTGAGCCTTTCATTCCTCCCGGCATCAGGCATTCGGCAGAGTAGACTCTAGGTCAGGTATTCATTTCAATAAAATGAAGAGTAGGACCTGCTCCCACTCTCCTCCCTCCACAGAGAAAGAATGACAGCCTGGAGCCCCATGATCCCAGGCCTCCCCAGGGGTGGCCGGTAGTTCTGGAAAATCCATGCTTCCTTTCCCAGCATTCCTTCCTTGCTCTGTTCCCAGTCTTTATCCTTCTTCAGGGACAAAACTCTGGAATTTCTCCTGTCCCAGCTTCCTGCTCAGCAGCTGGGGGAATCTCAGAGCCCCACACTCCAAGGCAGCATCCCAACCGTCCTCCTCTGTGCAACTCAGCCCATCTTCTCAAGGCCCAGGGGGGTGGACAGGGTCTCAGGGAACCCAGCTTGGCTCACTCACTCCATTGTCTCTTAGATCTTGAGGCTGAAGCCTCTGCCTCCCACTGCCAGTACCTGGGGCTGGAATAAAGCCAGCTGGGCCCTTGTGGGCACCTGTTCTCCTTCTCGCCACAGGTACTGCAGCCAGGTTCTTTCTTTCCTTGATCACAGAGCTGGAGCTCCTCAGAACTCCCTTGAACCCCCACGCCCTGGCCCTACCTCATTTTCCTCCTCCTGCGCCAGCCGCTCCTCGATGAGCGCCGTGGCCCTCTGCACCGCCTCGGAGCCCGCCATGGTGCTGTCCGCAGCCCGCCTCCGTGGGCCCCGGGGCCCTGGGGGCTTTATATGCCAGGGCACCCACCCCCGCCCTGCTGGGCGCCTTTGCCATGAGCTCACCGGCCTAATTCTCCACCTGCCTCCCCCACCTGTCACCTTCACCCCAGGCAGCCCCAGGGAGCAGGGGAAGGCAGGGACAGTTGCCCCCCAACCCCTGGTCTATTGGAGACGGTGGGCCCAGGGCCCCGAGAGCAGGGACTACAGGAAGCAGCCTGCCCAGCCTGTGTGTCCTGAGTGCTTAGGCCCTGCTGGGCCTCGGCCAGGGCAGCTGGGCTGCACAAAGGACCCACTGGCTGCTGTTAGTCCTGCGGCAGTGCCACCTGCTGGACGCTGGGAAACCATGCCCAGCCAGTACCAGTGAGAGGATCTAAAGGCCAAATGCGGGCACCCAAGATAGGCCTGCACCCACAAGCTGTCCTGTGAACAGGCCCCGCTTGCTCTGGGGAGGGGCAGACTGCCTCATCCGGACCAGAGTGCCAGGCAGTATACCGGGGTGAGGCAGCTGTCTCCCTCTGCCTGCGGCTGGCGCAGGCCTTTGCCTCTCTGGGATCCCACGGCTCCCCCCTAGTGAAGCATCACTGCACTTGGCTGCAAGTCCATTGATCCCTGACAAACCTCACCCATCTGTCTGTCTCAGGGGCCTCTCTGGGATTTACAGGGTGTGGCTTCAAGAGGAACCTCAGGAAGCCACTGGTAGGGCCAGAATGCAGTGCCAAGCCCAGCTGATGGGGACACCAGCTCTGACTGATCACCCTTTCCTCCTTGGTTTCCCCGTCAGGCCACCCTGACCAGTGGTCATGCTCACTGAGAAAGAAAAACACTCCCAGCTGGAGAAAAAGCAGACTTGTATGGCTCAGTTCCACACCTGGAACTGTGGGAGCGAGTCCTGGGTCACCATGACCTGGGTTTAATCTGCCACTGAACCAGACGCCACAGCTCTGTGGTTCCCTGACACTCACATAGTCCGCCCTTAGCTAAACGACCTTATCTAAGATCCCCCTTTTCCGCTTACATGTGCATTTTCCCCAGGGAAGCACGGGACCTGGCTCCTTCCCTCTGGGTCCCTTGCTGGCAAGCTGACACAGACTCATAATCTAACTTCATCAGACACCAAGGCTGCAGCATCTCTGCACGCACTTCAGTCCTTCGCGCCTGGCTCAGTGAGCCAGAAGCCAGCAACCCGGTGCTGCAGGGGCAGACCAGCAGGTAACTAAGGCTGCCGTCCTGAGACACGGCCTTTGCTTTCAAAGCGTGGTCACATCTGTTATCCCATTTAACCCTGCCAGCAACTGAGGGGGGAGGCAGGGCACGCAGCATCATCACTTTAAAGACAAGCCAAGTGGGTTCAGAGGTTAAGTGGCTTTTCCTGTGGACCCACAAGAACACAGGCCCCAACACTAGCAGTTCCAAGCTCATTCTATCATATTCTCTGTGGTGCCTGGAGCAGCTGGGGAGGCTGTGCACCCGCCTGCTCCCACACTAGAACTGGGGCTCCATAGAACTGCAGAACCCAAAAGTCAAAGCCAGACAAGAGAGGAGGAAGGAGCAAAAGGCTTTATTGATAAATATGCAGATATGTCTGTACACAGGGACCTGCTGTGGGGCCATGACCAGGCTGCAGACCCCCCACCGCAAGGGTTACAGCCAGGAGATGGCCCTACGCAGACCCCTGCCACAACAGCCCAGCCATCCGGCCACCGGCTCATTTCTGCCAATTGTTCTGGGGGCTGGGAGAGGCAGAGGCCGGCCTCAGGCTCCCCGCCCCTGGGGCTCCCATGTGGTCCCCTCCCCTCCAGGGGACTGGCACTGTGCCCAGGACAGAGTCACGGTAGGGGCAGGGGAGGGAGACAGCAGCTGCTTCAGACCCTGAGCAGAAAACCGGAGTGAGTACAGCCGCCAGCACCAGATGACAGATCTGGGCTCCAGGAGCCTCCAGGTTGGCCCTCATGGCTCGAACCTGCCACGGGAGAGAGGCAGGGTGGAGGGCCGTGATTTGCCTTTTCTCTGATAAGGCTGGCAAGGCCTGCGTGTGGCAGCACACTGCTTCCTGGGTGCTGGGCACTGGTGGCCCATAGTGTCCCTGGGAAGCAAGGTCCCCTCAGGGCTCGCCCAGCAGCCGTACACGGGGAGGCACTCCCAAAGAAAAGAACAGCTCTTGAAGGCAGCGGCAGGGTTGGGGGGCCTAGTGCTCCAGCTGGGAGGCCTCTCAGCCCTGCAGACACCCTCCTTGGCCTCTCTGCCCAGGGATCCATGGGCTTCTCAGTCCTGGGGTGGCGGGGGCTGGTTGATGATGACCTGGATGACAAAATCTTTCTGGATCTTGGTTTCCTGGAGCCGCGTGCGGTCTGTGAGCAGCTTTCCGGAGAAGAACCATCGCTGCCAGGATGGCTCGATGCCCTCCTGGGTGTGCAGCTGCCTCTTGAGCTGCCCCACCGTATCGGGCAGGCTGGCGCTGAGCCTCACGTCCTTGCCCGTGGAGAGGCGCACCTTTAGCGGGAACTCTCGGCGTACACTGGGGGTGGGCTCAGGGGGCTCCAGGCTCTCCTCCTCCGTGTGCTCCAGCAGCAGGTTCACGGGTGGTGACAGACAGTAGATGGGCAGCTGGTAGCGATTGCCCAGCTCATCATAGCATTCACAGAGGGTGCCTGTGGGAAAGGCAGGGCAGTCAAGTCTGCTTCAGGACCCACTGGTACAGATTAAATTGTGTGTACGTACCCCTCTAATTCATGTATTGAAGCCCTAACTCCCCAGTGTCACTGTATTTGGAGATAGGGGCCTATAATGGGAATAATTAAGGTTAAATAAGGTCATATGGGTGGGGCCCTGATCTGGTAGGATTAGTGTTCTTATAAGAAGAGACATCAACTAACTACTATATATAAAATAGATGTTTCTACTGTACCGCACAGGGGACTATATTCAATATCTTATAGTAACCTATAATGAAAATGAATATGAAGAGGAATAAATGTATGTATACGTATGACTGAAATATTATGCTGTATACCAGAAACTGACACAACATTGTAAACTGACCGTACTTCAATTTAAAAAGAATACTAAGAGACACCAGAGAACTCTCTCTCTTCCTCCACGATGTGAGGACACAGTGAGCAGGTGGAAGCCAGGAAGAGAGCTCTCACCAAAAACCAAATCAGCTGCCATCTTGATCTTGGGACAGCTGGAGGGAGCTCAAGGTGGAGTCAGGAAGACTTGGGCTGGCATTCTGGCTCCACCAGGTATTGGCTCCTTCAACCCTAGCAAATTACTTAACTTTTCATTTGTTCATTCACTAACTCCTTCTTCAGCATATGTGCTGGGTGCTGGGGTTGTAAGGATGAATGAAATAGCACAAGCTCTGCTCTCCATGGCTTGTACCCAGTGGGCCTCAATCTTCTTGTACAATGCATTGCATTAATAACATATTTACTATATCTTGAGCACCTGCCAAGTGCTGGGACTGGACTAAACAATGTTACATGTACCCTGCTGAATCCTACCAGCCATCCTATGAGGTAGGTATCCCTCCTTAAGTTGCTGAGGCTTCAAATTTGCACAGCTCAGGGTCACACAGTTAGGAAAGGGACAGTTAAAACCCAAGTCTCTGACTATAGAGTTTACATTGTTACCCTCTGCTTTATATGGCCCCAGAGGCTGTTATGAACTTAAATGAGATAATGCAGTAGAAGCTTCTAGCTCAGTGCCCAGCACATAATACTCAACAGAAGGCTGGTACCCGAGATGTGCTGGGATTCCAAAGGGCCCCGAGCAACCTTTAGCTTGCTCCTGTCAGGTCTGATGATATCTTCTCATGCCCTCATCATTAGTCAAGCAGGGACTGTGGCTTGTTTTTCTTGGGGTCCCACTCCTGATCCATGCTCATAAGGGTTGCTTGAATGGACAAGTTACTAGCCACACCTGCCATCCACCAGCCTGGCTTGCTATTCCTGACATGGGGCTGGCCACTGGCTCTCCTCTACCCTGAATGGTGCTGATAGCCCCCTCATTCCAGAGGGCCAAGCCCCCTGCTCTCTGCCTGCTCACCATGAGGCAGGGTGATGCTGGCTCCATCTAGGATGGCCTGAGCCAGCTCGTGGTCGTTGGCCTCGGCCGCGTAGGCGGCAGCCTTGAGGGCGTCCCAGATCTCCTTGCGGCCCTCGAAGGCGGGTGCCGTGTCCCAGAACTCATCCCGCTTGCTCCGCAGCTGCCCGTCCGTCATCGGGTAGTCGCTCTTCCACTTCAGCCGCTCCTTCTTCAGGGGCTCATTGCGTCCTGAGCAGGGCAGAAGGGAGAGGCTTGGCATCTGGAAGCCAGGGCTGCTGTTGGCCCTCTCCCAGCCCCACCTCCCTGGCCCCCCACTGTAGGGGCTCCTGAGCATTCAGGTCTCCGGGCTCTTTCCTGGAGTCAGGAGGAGTCTGGAAACCCACACACCCAACCTGGGGCCATAAACCGCTTTTGTCAGCAAAGCATATACTGCCTTTGTTGTAGCTGCTGCTGCTGTTTAAATCTTAATTTTACTCTTTCTTTGGTTATAAAGTAAGACGTGCTCAGTATGTTAAAAATCTGGAATGCAGTTGTGTCAGAATAATAATAACTGCCACTATTTAGGGAGCCAGCTTGTGCCAGATCACAGGTGAGGCACTTCAGATTCCCAAAACAACCCAACAGATGGGGAAACTAAGACCCAACCAGCTTGTCATTTGTCTAACGCCACACAGGTACCAATTTAATGCCAGGCTTTCTGACTTGGAAGGCCACACTCTGACCACTGTCTGTACTGTGCTGCCACTGGGTAATGCTTACTCAAGAATTCCACCATTCAGAAGTAACCAACCACTGCTGACACAGACATACTTCCTTTCAGCCTTCTTTCCCCCATTTTTCTCAATAAAGTTGGAAAATACTATTAAATTTATTTTAAAAATATTCCTTGTTATAAAAGGGATTTGAAATGTTTTCATGCCAATATACAATTTTCGCATTTACATTACTATCAATTTATATTCCCATCACTAAAAATTATAAACATTTTTAATGTCTTGTTAAGGTTCTGCCATACAATTACAAATAATTTTTTAAAACCAACAAATCCCTGCATCATTTTAAAACAATTCTGTTAAATGTCATGATTCTTGTTACCCAGCCCCAAGTGACCTCCAAGACAACTCCAGACCACAGTCAAGACTGAGGGCAAAAGTATCCTCTCAAAGGCTTTAGGGAGCTCCGTCATCTGAAAGCTGAAGGCAGAATGAGCCATAGGCGTGAGGTCTAAAGCATCTGGCTTCCACTGTAACTCAGATTCTAGGTGAGATGTGGAACTGAAGCTGGGGGCTGTCCCCACAGGCTGGGGGAGGAGAGGGGGGCTCCTCAGGGGAAGAGGACAGTCACTGCCAACCAACCATGCGGAAGAAGCCCATGTAAGCACGTTATTTTATTTATATACATCATCCCATTTCATCCTTCCAATGGCCTTAGGTGGTAAGTGTTACTGTTATTTCACCGATGATGGGACAGGCAGAGAGATTAAATGACTTGTCAAGGTCACACAGTAAGTGACAGAGTGAGTGTTCCACCTCAGGTCAGAATGAATCCACAAACAGCCCTCCTGTGGGTTTGCTGCTACCTGTGCAGGCAGAAAACTCTCAAGCCAGACATTTCATCTGAAGTGTTCCTGGGTTAGCAGAGGGAAATGCAAATCCTCTTTGTGGGAAAACAACTTCAAACCAGGCCTTAAAGAATCCCCGAGATAAGGTTCCAAGAAAAATAAATAATAAGGTCATAGTCTTTTTCTTTTTTTTAATCACAACATACAAAGAAGGCAATATGAGCCCAAGCCAGCAAAAACAACAGGCAGAAGAATCAGACTCATAAAGACTTCAGACATGGGATTTATCAGACACAGATTATGAAATACCTAGTTTAAGAAATAAAAGAGCCTTAAAAATATGAACAGGGTATTGGGAAAACCCCCCACATAACTGTCGTCAGAAGTATTCCGTGTGAGCAACAGAGGAGAAATGCTTGAGGTTTTTCTTTATAAGGACCACTGATACATGGTGTTGGGACTACAGGTTCTCCATATAGAAAAACATGACACAGGATCCCCACCTCATGCCAGCCACAAAAATCAAAGCCAGATGGATCAAAGACTTAGCTGTGAAAGATAGAAAGGATGCACTGGAGAAACAGAAGATGACAGTTTTGTCCATGTGATTTTGTTGGAGGTCTGGCCTGGAGGAGTTTCCGCCTGGATCAAGGAAGTAGCTCTGCTTCATGATTTCCGACCCCTTTTCTCTCTGGTCCTTTAGCACTTAGGACTCCCTACCAAGAGCTCTGATCTATCAGGATTCACAGACCTTATGCAGTGACACCCTTGGGACCTCTGGGGTGTGGCACATCTGTCCCTCCACTCAATGACCCAGACGTCAGGGCTCTTTAACTTCTTGAGCTGATTTCTATAGTCTTCCCATCTCCTTCCTCTTTGCCAGATGTCACCTCTCACTGGTCTCCATCTAACTGCTGCTCCAATGGGGAGAGGTCAGGTCCAGCTAATGGGCCACTCCTAATCTGCTGAGGGTTGAGAAAGCTTGTCACACTGTCAAAAATGAGAGCCTCTGGTTCTTAGAAAGAGGTTTCCTAAAGAAGAAAGAGACTAGGCTTTGGGACATCTTTTGTTCCTGCTCAGATGTGCCATCCCCCTTAAATGGTCAGGTTTTGGTTTTGTCCCTGACAATTGAGGTTGCTGGACTAGTGAGCTCAGGATACCTGCAGTGTAATGATGTATGCATGCATCTCATTCACTTTAATATAAACACAACCCCATGGTGCCACTTTTCAAAGTTGTTACCTCAGGAGGCCCTGCGTACCAGAGGGATGCTTTGCTTGAATATCTTGCCCTCAGAGTCCCCTCCCGACCACACAGAGAACAGCATGCTTTCCTGTCTGTGTGGTTGGAGATGTACTTCTCACCCCAGGATGGACACAATGCCAGTGAACCTCTACAATATTAACTGCATCTGCAGTCACCCAAGACACAAGAGGCTTAAGGGTTCCTCACCCTTGTGTCAGGCTCAAAATACTAGA